ATCTCTTATAGTTTTCGAGAAAAACGCAGTTTTATGTTTTCACACAAAAAATCGATTTTTCATGGGATTTAGAAGTGATCACAGATTTTCATTGTTTTTGCTGTATCTCTTATAGTTTTCGAGAAAAACGCACTTTTATGTTTTCACTCAGAACTTGATTTCTTATGGGATTTAGAAGTGATCACAGATTTTAATTGTTTTTGCTGTATCTCTTATAGTTTTCGAGAAAAACGCACTTTTATGTTTTCACTCAAAACTTGATTTCTTATGGGATTTAGAAGTGATCACAGATTTTCATTGTTTTGGCTGTATCTCTTATAGTTTTCGAGAAAAACGCATTTTTATGTTTTCACTCAAAAAATCGATTTTTCATGGGATTTAGAAGTGATCACAGATTTTCATTGTTTTGGCTGTATCTCTTATAGTTTTCGAGAAAAACGCAGTTTTATGTTTTCACTCAAAACATGGATTTTTTCATGTGATTTAGAAGTGATCACAGATTTTCATTGTTTTTGCTGTATCTCATATAGTTTTCGAGAAAAACGCAGTTTTATGTTTTCATTCAAAACATTGATTTTTCATGGGATTTACAAGTGATCACAGATTTTCATTGTTTTTGCTGTATCTCTTATAGTTTTCGAGAAAAACGCAGTTTTATGTTTTCACTCAAAACATTGATTTTTTATGGGATTTAGAAGTGATCACAGATTTTCATTGTTTTGGCTGTATCTCTTATAGTTTTCGAGAAAAACGCAGTTTTATGTTTTCACTCAAAACATGGATTTTTCATGGGATTTAGAAGTGATCACAGATTTTCATTGTTTTTGCTGTATCTCTTATAGTTTTCGAGAAAAACGCACTTTTATGTTTTCACTCAAAACATTGATTTCTTATGGGATTTAGAAGTGATCACAGATTTTCATTGTTTTGCTGTAATCTCTTATAGTTTTCGAGAAAAACGCAGTTTTATGTTTTCACTCAAAAATCGATTTTTCATGGGATTTAGAAGTGATCACAGATTTTCATTGTTTTTGCTGTATCTCTTATAGTTTTCGAGAAAAACGCAGTTTTATGTTTTCACTCAGAAACATCGATTTTTCATGGGATTTAGAAGTGATCACAGATTTTAATTGTTTTTGCTGTATCTCTTATAGTTTTCGAGAAAAACGCACTTTTTATGTTTTCACTCAAAAATCGATTTTTCATGGGATTTAGAAGTGATCACAGATTTTCATTGTTTTTGCTGTATCTCTTATAGTTTTCGAGAAAAACGCACTTGTATGTTTTCACACAAAAAATCGATTTTTCATGGGATTTAGAAGTGATCACAGATTTTCATTGTTTTTGCTGTATCTCTTATAGTTTTCGAGAAAAACGCAGTTTTATGTTTTCACTCAAAAAATCGATTTTTCATGGGATTTAGAAGTGATCACAGATTTTCATTGTTTTTGCTGTATCTCTTATAGTTTTCGAGAATATCGTAGTTTTATGTTTTCATTCAAAACATCGATTTTTCATGGGATTTGGTAGTGATCACAGATTTCCATTGTTTTTGCTGTATCTCTTATAGTTTTCGAGAAAAACGCACTTTTATGTTTTCACTCAAAACTTGATTTCTTATGGGATTTAGAAGTGATCACAGATTTTCATTGTTTTTGCTGTATCTCTTATAGTTTTCGAGAAAAACGCATTTTTATGTTTTCACTCAAAAATCGATTTTTCATGGGATTTAGAAGTGATCACAGATTTTCATTGTTTTTGCTGTATCTCTTATAGTTTTCGAGAAAAACGCAGTTTTATGTTTTCACTCAAAACATTGATTTTTATGGGATTTAGAAGTGATCACAGATTTTCATTGTTTTGGCTGTATCTCTTATAGTTTTCGAGAAAAACGCAGTTTTCTGTTTTCACTCAAAACATGGATTTTTCATGTGATTTAGAAGTGATCACAGATTTTCGTTGTTTTTGCTGTATCTCATATAGTTTTCGAGAAAAAAGCAGTTTTATGTTTTCACTCAAAACATTGATTTTTCATGGGATTTAGAAGTGATCACAGATTTTCATTGTTTTTGATGTATCTCTTATAGTTTTCGAGAAAAACGCATTTTTATGTTTTCACTCAAAAAATCGATTTTTCATGGGATTTACAAGTGATCACAGATTTTCATTGTTTTTGCTGTATCTCTTATAGTTTTCGAGAAAAACGCACTTTATGTTTTCACTCAGAAAATCGATTTTTCATGGGATTTAGAAGTGATCACAGATTTTATTGTTTTTGCTGTATCTCTTATAGTTTTCGAGAAAAACGCACTTTTATGTTTTCACTCAAAATATCGATTTTTCATGGGATTTAGAAGTGATTACAGATTTTCATTGTTTTTGCTGTATCTCTTATAGTTTTCGAGAAAAACGCAGTTTTATGTTTTCACTCAAAACATTGATTTTTATGGGATTTAGAAGTGATCACAGATTTTCATTGTTTTGGCTGTATCTCTTATAGTTTTCGAGAAAAACGCAGTTTTATGTTTTCACTCAAAACATGGATTTTTCATGGGATTTAGAAGTGATCACAGATTTTCATTGTTTTTGCATATCTCTTATAGTTTTCGAGAAAAACGCACTTTTATGTTTTCACTCAAAACATTGATTTCTTATGGTATTTAGAAGTGATCACAGATTTTCATTGTTTTTGCTGAATCTCTTATAGTTTTCGAGAAAAACGCAGTTTTATGTTTTCACACAAAAAATCGATTTTTCATGGGATTTAGAAGTGATCACAGATTTTCATTGTTTTTGCTGTATCTCTTATAGTTTTTCGAGGAAAAACGCACTTTTATGTTTTCACTCAGAAAATCGATTTTTCATGGGATTTTAGAAGTGATCACAGATTTTAATTGTTTTTGATGTATCTCTTATAGTTTTCAAGAAAAACGCACTTTTATGTTTTTCACTTAGAAAATCGATTTTTCATGGGATTTAGAAGTGATCACAGATTTTAATTGTTTTTGCTGTATCTCTTATAGTTTTCGAGAAAAACGCACGTTTATGTTTTCACACAAAAAATCGATTTTTCATGGGATTTAGAAGTGATCACAGATTTTCATTGTTTTTGCTGTATCTCTTATAGTTTTCGAGAAAAACGCAGTTTTATGTTTTCACTCAAAAAATCGATTTTTCATGGGATTTAGAAGTGATCACAGATTTTCATTGTTTTTGCTGTATCTCTTATAGTTTTCGAGAAAAAACGCAGTTTTAAGTTTTCACTCAAAAAATCTCTTTTCATGGGATTTAGAAGTGATCACAGATTTTCATTTTTTTGCTGTATCTCTTATAGTTTTCGAGAAAAACGTTTTATGTTTTCACTCAAAAATGATTTTTCATGGGATTTAGAAGTGATCACAGATTTTCATTGTTTTTGCTGTATCTCTTATAGTTTTCGAGAAAAACGCACTTTTATGTTTTCACTCAAAAATCGATTTTTCATGGGATTTAGAAGTGATCACAGATTTTCATTGTTTTGCTGTATCTCTTATAGTTTTCGAGAAAAACGCATTTTATGTTTTCACTCAAAAATCGATTTTTCATGGGATTTAGAAGTGATCACAGATTTTCATTGTTTTGCTGTATCTCTTATAGTTTTCGAGAAAAACGCAGTTTTATGTTTTCACTCAAAACATGATTTTTATGGGATTTAGAAGTGATCACAGATTTCATTGTTTTTGCTGTATCTCTTATAGTTTTCGAGAAAAACGCTGTATCTAGAGGAAAAACGCAGTTTTATGTTTTCACTCAAAAAATCGACTTTTCATGGATTTAGAAGTGATCACAGAATTTCATTGTTTTTGCTGTATCTCTTATAGTTTTCGAGAAAGCACAGATTTATGTTTTCACTCAAAAATGGATTATTCATGGGATTTAGAAGTGATCACAGATTTTCATTGTTTTTGCTGTATCCTTATATATCTTCACTCAAAAAATCGATTTTTATTGGGATTTAGAAGTGATCACAGATTTTTCATTGTTTTTTGCTGTATCTCTTATAGTTTTCGAGAAAAACGCACTTTTATGTTTTCACTCAAAAAATCGATTTTTCATGGGATTTAGAAGTGATCACAGATTTTCATTGTTTTTGCTGTATCTCTTATATCACAGATTTTCTTTGTTTTTGCTGTATCTCTTATAGTTTTCGAGAAAAACGCAGTTTTATGTTTTCACTCAAAAAATAGATTTTTCACGGGATTTAGAAGTGATCACAGATTTTCATTGTTTTTGTTGTATCTCTTATAGTTTTCAAGAAAAACGCAGTTTTGTGTTTTCAATCAAAAATTAATTTTTTATGGGATTTAGAAGTGATTAGAGATTTTCATTGTTTTTCAGTTCTAGTTCAGTTCTAGTTCAGTTCTTGTTCAGTTCTAGTTCAGTTCTAGTTCAGTTCTAGTTCAGTTCTAGTTTAGTTCTAGTTCAGTTCTAGTTCAGTTCTAGTTCAGTTCTAGTTCAGTTCTAGTTCAGTTCTAGTTCAGTTCTAGTTCAGTTCTAGTTCAGTTCTAGTTCAGTTCTAGTTCAGTTCTAGTTCAGTTCTAGTTCAATTCTAGTTCAGTTCTAGTTCAGTTCTAGTTCAGTTCTAGTTCAGTTCTAGTTCAGTTCATCTTTGCATTCTTGAAATGTAACCATCGTAAACATCATCCTACGATTAAGAACAACTTTCTAGGTCTATCAAGTAATCTCCGAATGGAAGTATGTCAGATTATCCACGACAAACTTGTGGTTAAAATACATGTCGCGATATTAATTTTAGTCCTATGAATGTTCATTTTACAAAAAAATACAACTTTTTTGTTTCATCTGAACACATCTGCTAACAAATCGTTTAATCGTGAATCTCTGAATTATTTATATACAGCAAATAATATTTAATTTTAAACTTTCTCACCACAACTTATTACTAAGCCTTCGGCGATAAATGCAAAGACATCTAATTTGCAATAGTTTATTTCATTTCAATTCTACAGCTGCTACAGTTAATAAGAAAATACTTTTTGTTGTAAATTTTACAAAATGGATAACAATTATAAACCTGTTGATATGACAGGCTGTTTGGCTGATCCTCAAGTGAGTTTAAGAAGAATAGCTTCTAGATTTATTGAGAATTTTATAATAAACTTGCATATTCCCAGATTAAACTCTCGAAGGCTTTAATTAATCGCGATTTATTTGAATTTCGTTCGGCTCTTAGTATTGGTGCCAATGCTTTGGCGAAGGATGAGCAAAATTTAAGCATTTTTGAGAAAGCTTTACAAACTTCAGGTTGCTCCGAGTTTATTAAGGAATGTTTAAGCTCTGGCTGTGATCCTAATTATGTAAGTTTTTAGTTAAGATTTATAATTATGTTATGCTTATCTGAAATACGTTTTAGATCAATAGCTTTTATAACAAAGCGGCGGTGAATTTTGCCACCGATTCCCGAGATCCTGATAACCTAAAGGAGCTGTTAATAGCGCCTGGTGTTAAAGTTGATCACAAATATTCTAATTTAACGCCTTTGAACTCTTTGGCTAAAAATCTTAATAACGAAAATGCTTTTAAGGTAATAGAATGTATAAAAGTTTTATTGCGCTATGGAGCCTCACCCAATATACCCGATCAAAGAGAAATGACACCTTTGCATAATATTGTAAAGAATCATAAAATTAATGATGTGCAAAAGTACGAACTTATACAAATGTTTATTTCGCTAGCCGATATTGATATCGATACTTATCGAGAGGGCGAATTAAGGGGAATTTTAGAAACGGAATACCCACTCATGGAATTGCCCATAAAAAAGGATAAAAATGTAGTAACATTTCGTTCTCTTCTGAGTCTTATTAGAAATGGTAATATGGAAGTATTTGAACAACAATATGCTGATAACTCACGCCACACTAGCCAAGACGAAGAGGTGGAACTATTAGTAGCAGCCATCGAAACAGGAGCCCATAGAGCTTTTGATATGATTTTAGCCAATGGTGTGGACTATAATAAAAGTATAAGAAACAATAACAATAGCAATACACCCATAGAAATAGCCTGGGTTTATGGCAATTGGTGTGCTTTGGAAAAGCTTTTACAACAACCCGATATAAAACTTCGTGCTCAGGATAATCCCTTAATTAATATTGTTTGCAAATTAAATGAAACTTCCTCGCAAGCATTTTGCAATTATTGGAAATGTTTTACGGTACTACTGGAATCGGACAAAATCGATATAAATGCTACCGATTTCAGCAAATCCACAGCTCTACATTATGCCGTTAAATATCATAATAATAAAGCGATAAAAGAACTTTTAAAAAGAGGAGCTTGCATTAGTATGGAAAATAAGTTCCAGGAATTGCCGCTAAATGGCATGAGTCCCTCGGTATGGGAGGAACACTTAGATGACTGTGTCTCCTCCAACGGCGATAAGTTGGGTGATAAAAGCTATGAAATAATTATAAGTTTTCAGAACTTTATGAATTCCCAGCAAAAGAAAAAGAAACAATTGAAAGAGGTTCTGGCGCCCATTTCCTTTATGGCCGAAACTAAAGAATATCGTTATTTGCTGCAACATCCAGTTATAACCAGCATATTGTTCCTCAAGTGGCATAAACTGTCTCTGGTTTTTTATATAAATTTCTTGGCCTATTTATTCTTTGCCGCCTCCATTATTACACATATGATCTTGAAACTGCGCAACATTGATAAAGAAAATGCTGAAAAAATAACACTTTATTGTTCATATTTGGGTATTTCTTATCTGATCACCAGAGAATGTTTGCAAGTGCTAATGGCTCCTTGGAAATACATTAAATCCATAACAAATTATTTAGAAATATTGCTAATAATACTCTCCCTGCTGACTTGTAAAGATCTAAAAAGCGATGATTTGCAACGTAACATAGCGGTGGCTTGTATTTTACTACTGGCCTATGAACTGTTTTTACTGGTGGGCTCTTTGCCCATCTCCTCTATATCCACCCATATGCTAATGCTGGAAGCTGTTTGCAAAAGTTTTGTCAAAAGTTTTCTTTTCTATTCCATATTTGTATTCACTTTTACCCTGTGTTTCTACATCAAAATTGGCAATGAACAGGTCGTAGACCCTGAAGAAAAGTTTCATAGTTTCTCGGAACCTTTGCTGGCCTTTTCCAAAACCATTGTTATGTTTACTGGAGAATTTGATGCCGGCAGCTTAAAGCTGGATACTGATTATACCCGTTTGCTGTTTCTCTCCTTTGTATTCTTTATGACCATTATTCTCTTCAATCTTCTTAATGGTTTAGCGGTCAGCGATACACAGGCCATTAAGGATCAAGCTGAAATCAATGATATCATCTGTCGCACCCATCTTTTGTCGCGTTATGAAAAAGCTGTTTACAAGAAAAATCTTAATTTTTCGTTTATACTAAAACGTGAACCCATACGTTCAATATGTCGAATTTTCTCTAATCTCTTTCCCGACTACACGACCGATGTTCAAATCTCCATATTACCCAATGATAAAAATAAAATTTTCGGTTTAAAACTACAAAATAGAGTGCAAAATATGAATAGTGGTGAAACTACTACAACTATAACGCGTACAGCGATTAGTATAGACGGACAGGATGAGGATGACAATAGTGATATTTTTGCAAAGAACAAGTATTTAAGTTGTTGTTTTAGTGGTTTTACTGACAGATGTTCGAGGATTGATGAGAGAACGGTGAACCAGGCCATGGCAATATTGGAAAAGAAATCGAATGTAACCATAGAAAATCGTTTGGATACGATGGAGGAGCAACTGAATGAAATTATAAAATATTTGAAAATTCAAATTCGGAAGAAGTAGATCAGTGTACTTAAGAGAGTAAAATTGTAAAGAAATTTTATAAAATAAAATGGTTATATATCGATTATATAGTAATTGTTATTTTTCGACTCTAAATTTCAAAATTTTTTTTTGCAAAGGTGATACCCTAACCCATAGAGGAGAGGGTGGTTTACGTTTGTTGTAATGTTGTAACAACCGTAATATATGGTAGTACCGCAATCGATATACTGATAGATTAGGCTAGTCCTTCCGCCATTCCTTCGACACTTAACTAACTACTAACTAACTAACTAACTAACTAACTAACTAACTAAACTAACTAACTAACTACTAACTAACTAACTAACTAACTACTAACTAACGAACGAACGAAGAAACGAACGAAACGAACGAACGAAGAACGAACGAACGAACGAAGACGAACGAACGAACGAACGAAACGAACGAACGAAACGAACGAACGAACGAAACGAACGAACGAACGAACGAACGAACGAAAACGAACGAACGAACGAACGAACGAACGAACGAACGAACGAAACGAAAGAACGAACGAACGAACGAACGAACGAACGAACGAACGAACGAACGAAACGAACGAACGAACGAACGAACGAACGAACGAACGAACGAACGAACGAACGAACGAAAACGAAGAACGAACGAACGAACGAACGAACGAACGAAGAACGAACGAACGAACGAACGAACGAACGAACGAAGAACGAACGACGAACGAACGAACGAAACGAACGAACGAACGAACGAACGAACGAACGAACGAACGAACGAACGAACGAACGAACGAACGAACGACGAACGAACGAACGAACGAACGAGAACGAACGACGAACGAACGAACGAACGAACGAACGAACGAACGAACGAACGAACGAAACGAACGAAGAACGAACGAACGAACGAACGAACGAAACGAACGAACGAAAGAACGAACGAACGAACGACGAACGAACGAACGAACGAACGAACGAAACGAACGAACGAACGAACGAACGAACGAACGAACGAACGAACGAACGAACGAACGAACAACGAACGAACGAAAGAACGAACGAACGAACGAACGAACTAAACGAACGAACGAACGAAACGAACGAACAAACGAACGAACGAAAACGAACGAAACGAACTAACGAACGAACGAACGAACGAACGAACGAACGAACGAACGACGAACGAACGAAAGAACGAACGAACGAACGAACGAACGAACGAACGAAAAGAACGAACGAACGAAACGAACGAACGAACGAACGAACGAACGAACGAACGAAGAAAGAACGAAAACGAACGAACGAACGAACGAACGACGAACGAACGAAACGAACGAACGAACGAACTAACTAACTAACTAACTAACTAACTAACTAACTCCCACTAACTAACTAACTAACTACTAAATAAACTAACTAACTAAACAACTAACTAACTAACTAACGAACTAACTACTAACTAACTAACTAATAACTAACTACTACTACTAACTAACACTAACTAAACTAACTAACTAACTAACTAACTAACTAAACTAACCTAACTAACTAACTAACTACTAACTAACTAACTAACTAACGTAACTAACTAACTAACTAACTACTACTAACTAACTAACTAAAAACTAACTAACTAACTAACTAACTAACTAACTAACTAACTAACTAACTAACTAACTAACTAACTAGCTAACTAACTAACTCACTACTAACTAACTAACGTAACACTAACTAACTAAATACTACTAACGAACTAATAACTAACACTAACTAGACTAACTACTAACTAACTAACTAACTACAACTAACTAACTAACTAACTAACTAACAACTAACTAACTAACTACACTAACTAACTAACTAACTAACTAACTAACTAACTACTAACTAACTAACTAACTACACTAACTAATTAACTAACTTTTTGCAATAGCATTGTGACTCATTATTTTAACAAAATGATGACATTGGAGGCAAGTACTTACCATGATCGCTTGCTAGTAAGGAGTTATGTAAGTTCTTCTGTTGTAGAAATAACAGTCCACGGGTATACGTCCACTGCGTTTGCTAATTTTCATAAAAAGATTACTTTTTTGCAGGGTAGTGTCAAGATTTTGGTGTTAAAGATTTCTCAGTTTACACCCTTTTTGGTTATACTTATGAATCTGTGTTATTTTGTTAGCAATTACAGCAATATGTATCTTATTCGGCATAACCGAATATATTATGCTTACTTGTTTTAAATTTAAACCAATAAAATATATACTATTTTGTTTGTTTTTAAAATAGGTATTTTAGAACCTGTTTGTATTTATTATAAATATAGCAATCATTATTTATTATTTAGTTAAAAAACTATTATTGATCCAGGGTTTAAAGATTTCGCAAGGAAATATCGTTGGTTGTTAGAGACGATCTATAATATTATCAATTATATATTTTCTTAAACCTGTAACCGAACTACTAGAATACCAAAAGTCAAATTAACGCAATCGAATGAGTTTTCATACCGAATATTTTGGTTAGCTAAATAAAGTGAATCGCCTCCATTTTCTCTATAATTTTAGGTACATTTAAAGGTAGCGCATAAAAAATATATAAATTCAAATATCGTCAAATATCCACCGAATCTGAAAGCCCTTTCTAGTTTGCTATAGCATGTAATTATCGAAATTTTTATTTTAATTAATTATATTTATATATAAAACCTTGTTTTCTTAAAATAACAAAACATTATTTAACGTATCATAATATGTATAATGCTCTTAAATTAATAATCTAAATATATAAAAATTATTTAAAAAATAACTTATACTAATCAAATTTTAGCATTAAATACTTATAGGTTCCATGAGGCTTAAGCCATTATTGTAAATCTCAAATTTTGTTGGTGTTTTATCTAAAACACATCGGGTTTAAAAATATTTGTATAATTAATCTTAAAAAACAATATTGAATTGTATTTCAAATTGGATATTATATGTTTTATATATGTGCTTTCTTTTCAGAAACATTACGTATTTAGAATTCCTTAAAATGGTCGAAATCTATTAAATGGGCGTGGCATCTTTTTTAATAGTTTAATGATAATAAATAAGAATACCTTTTTATGTTATACCGGCTATGTGTAGTGTGCTTTGCGAATTTGTCGTAGTTTCTAATATAATGTCCATTATTTTAATATTTAGGGAGGCCACGCCCACTACTAATGGTATGCCCTTTAAGGTACTTAATATGTACTTGAAGGAATAGTAATGCTACTCATTTCATTATTATACTTCTAACAATTTCCCGTTTACATATATAAAATTATTACTTTTCTCTCTATGAGGGGAGTGCCACACCCATTATTCTTAATCCTCCCACTTTTGTTCTAAATAAATATATTAATTGTAAAGTTATTCGTACAAAAATTTAAAGATTTTAGTGGCTATAGTTTCTCTAATACACAAAATTTTGTATCAAGTTGATATAGAAGCTCCCACGCCCACTGCTGTTGGTCCGCCCACTTTTATCTAAGCTAAAAAATAAAGACAGCACTCGTCTCTATGGACCACTTAAGCATGGAAAATACTGAAATGGCTAAATACAAACAGAAAAACTATTTGTGCGTAATTAAAAAAAGTCTTTTCTTAACATTTGCAATGAAAAAACTCATTTATCAAACACATATTGTAAATTAACTATAAATTTATTTCTATATTTGTATGTAACATATAACAACTATTTAAAAATGTTTATTTTAAATATATATTTTTTTTAATTATTTGTCTTATTAATTGTTTGTTATATAGTTTGTTTTACTAATAAACTTAATGTCATGCACACTCATTCACAATAAAACTCTTTCATTCATTTCATCTACATACATGAATATCTAAAATGCAAATCCTTAATTATACATACATACATATGTACTTCTATTAATACAAATTTATAATTATCATATTCGTGCTTTCATTCATTTAAGTCATGGTACATGAATGCCTCTTGAGTACACCACGATGTGAAGGACTTTTACTGCCCTTGGCCGAGGTGAAGGAGGGTAACGATTGACGTCGTCGTCTTACAGCCGGACTTAAATTATAACGTATGTTAGCCTGTACCAACAGCTCTTTAAATATCTCCACTATGCCCGTATTCTCCTTGGCTGAACATTCAATATAACCACAGCGCCAGTCTTCACATACAACCATTTCGGTGACTTCATACTCCACCTGACGACGTTCGCAGTCATTAATGTCGATTTTATTGCCAACAACGACAATGGGTGGTTTCATACCTTTTTGTTTGATGATCTTAAATGTAAGAAGAATAAAAGTGTTCCTTTGTCATTGAGAATTTTATGAAATTTTATCAGAATTTATTAGATAAAGTAGATGTGTGTGTGTGTATGTGTATTATTTAAATTCACAATATTGTAATAAAAGTATTCAGTTACTTTAATTAATTTGCACTTTTTCCCTATAAAATATATAAATACAAATGTTAACGTGATTCTACAGATACGTTCATATGTACATATATACTATATTTATATCATAAAAGTATTCTATTTCAAATAAATAGTCTCCATTTTTTTAGTTTACTATAAAATCCTAGAAACTACAAGACGTACTGCACAGTGGTACCAACTTACTGAACTAAAATTAAACAAGAACTGAACTAGAACAGAACTAGAACAGAACTAGAACAGAACTAGAACAGAACTAGAACAGAACTAGAACAGAACTAGAACAGAACTAGAACAGAACTAGAACAGAACTAGAACAGAACTAGAACAGAACTAGAACAGAACTAGAACAGAACTAGAATAGAACTAGAATAGAACTAAAATAGAACTAGAACAGAACTAGAACAGAACTAGAACAGAACTAGAATAGAACTAGAATAGAACTAGAATAGAACTAGAATAGAACTGGAACAGAACTAGAACAGAACTAGAACTGAACTAGAACTGAACTAGAACTGAACTAGAACTGAGCTAGAACTGAACTAGAACTGAACTAGAACTGAACTAGAACTGAACTAGAACTGAACTAGAACTGAACTAGAACTGAACTAGAACTGAACTAGAACTGAACTAGAACTGAACTAGAACTGAACTAGAACTGAACTAGAACTAAACTAGAACTGAACTAGAACTGAACTAGAACTGAACAGAACTAGAACTGAACTAGAACAGAACTAGAACAGAACTAGAACTGAACTAGAACTGAACTAGAACCGAACTAGAACTGAACTGAACTAGAACTGAACTAGAACTGAACTAGAACTGAACTAGAACTGAACTAGAACTGAACTAGAACTGAACTAGAACTGAACTAGAACTGAACTAGAACTGAACTAGAACTGAACTAGAACTAGAACTGAACTAGAACTGAACTAGAACTGAACTAGAACTGAACTAGAACTGAACTAGAACTGAACTAGAACTGAACTAGAACTGAACTAGAACTGAACTAGAACTGAACTAGAAGAACTGAACTAGAACTGAACTAGAACTGAACTAGAACTGAACTAGAACTGAACTAGAACTGAACTAGAACTGAACTAGAACTGAACAGAACTAGAACTAGAACTGAACTAGAACTGAACTAGAACTGAACTAGAACTGAACTAGAATTGAACTGGAACTGAACTAGAACTGATCTAGAGCTAAACTAGATATTATTGGAGTCTAGGAGTTAAAAATTTAAAGCCTCACTCTGAGCTGATGATTGCAGTCTTAATTAGAATAGTTATTTACTGAATCTGTTCACTAGTTCAGAATCCGACTGTTTACATTTTAAATCTAACCCACTGTACTAAACAAAATTACTCTAATCACTAAACTTTCCATACTCCATAAACACATTAATTAAATTCTTTATAATTTCCTTTTCTCTATCAAAGCTATAAATTTTCCTTACCATATTACGTAATCTCTCCACTTCATACCAAGACTCGATATCATCAACTGCATAAACCAATATAAAAGCAGCACCCGTCGTTATGGACAACGTACGCATTGCTGGAAATTCAAAAGAACCCGAAGTATCGAGAATATCAAGAGTGAGCGCCGAACCATCGGGTAATTCATATTCAGCACGATGCAATTGTTCGACTGTTTGTTTATAACGTGGATAGAATTTATCATAGAGAAACTGTGAAATGATGCAAGTTTTTCCCACTTTAGCAGCACCCATGACCACAACACGATGCTGTTGTTTACGCATCAGATGTGTCGTTGAACCGGTACTGTGATGATTGATGGCGGAATTGTTGCGTTTACTGGGTGGCGTCGATGAGGGGTAGTCTGCACTGTTGGCACGCGGCGTCGTTGACTTAAGTACAGATGTTAGGGAGGGTAAACGGAGACGTTGACAGGGACCCGGCATGTTGTAAGTTTTTGTTTTTCTTTAAGTCTTTCCTAATGCAATTTCTGATTGACACATACAATTCTTGTTGTCTTTGTTGCTTGCAAGTAATGTGTTTTTTTTTCCTTTAACTTGTCAAGAAGTTGTTGTTTTAGACTAGAAATATGATAAGAAGTAGATTTTTTTTATAATTATTGTTGCTTTATATTTCATATTCTTAAATATGGTTTTTTAAAGAAATATTTTGCAGTTAAGATATGTTTACTATGGTTTAATGTTTTAAGTATAAATTTAATTAAAAACACTTTGTGGTTTTCTTTTTCATTTCTTAAGGATATTTATTTTTTTTTTAATATTTGCTAACATTGACCTGCGGCTTTTATGTTTACATAAATTTTTTTTATGTCATCGTTTTCTTTACATTTTCAGACATTCGTTTTTTCTATTTATAAAGATAATTAAAAATCGGACGTAATAAAAGTCACAGTCAAGCCATTTATATAATGCACCAACTGTTTTCATATAAAAAATGCAAAATGAACAAATGAAGGTAAATAATAGTTTTTTAATTAAATAAAATATTGATAAGTCGTTAAAAGTTATTTGCTGCTAGAGTTTATACCCTCCCAGCAAAATAATTGTAATTGAGAAGTAAAGAGTTATGCTACTAAAGTAATGGGTGATATTTAGGCAAACGCTTATAAGGCACTGAAAAGTGCTTTTTAAGCAAGAAGCTTGACTACTAAGCAAAATGTCTTTCTACTCAATTGATATAAACTTTACTTTAAAAATTAAAAAAATTCTTTAAACTGTTGTCCTTGGCTATTAAACTTAAATGTTTGTGTATTTCCAATTACAACTCACACCAAAAAAAACCAAATTGGAAACTTTTTGTTACGCAAAAGTTACAGTATAATTCAATTATAAATAATATGCAATTAATTTATAATTATATAAGCATTTTTATAGTTTCATTTAAAAATTTTACATCATACACCTCTACTTATACAGGGGGGAGTATTATGCGTTTGAAAATTAAGGCTTTATAGCAAATTTTAAACACTTCCCAGCAAAAACTTACATTAAAAAACAATGAGTTAGTTAGTTAGATAGTAGTTAGTTAGTTAGTTAGTTAGTTAGTTAGTTAGTTAGTTAGTTAGTTAGTTAGTTAGTTAGTTAGTTAGTTAGTTAGTTAGTTAGTTAGTTAGTTAGTTAGTTAGTTAGTTAGTTAGTTAGTTAGTTAGTTAGTTAGTTAGTTAGTTAGTTAGTTAGTTAGTTAGTTAGTTAGTTAGTTAGTTAGTAGTTAGTTAGTTAGGTAGGTAGGTAGGTAGGTAGGTAGGTAGGTAGGTAGTTAGTTAGTTAGTTAGTTAGTTAGTTAGTTAGTTAGTTAGTTAGTTAGTTAGTTAGTTAGTTAGTTAGTTAGTTAGTTAGTTAGTTAGTTAGTAGTTAGTTAGTTAGTTAGTTAGTTAGTTAGTTAGTTAGTTAGTTAGTTAGTTAGTTAGTTAGTTAGTTAGTTAGTTAGTTAGTTAGTTAGTTAGTTAGTTAGTTAGTTAGTTAGTTAGTTAGTTAGTTAGTTAGTTAGTTAGTTAGTTAGTTAGTTAGTTAGTTAGTTAGTTAGTTAGTTAGTTAGTTAGTAGTTAGTTAGTTAGTTAGTTAGTAGTTAGTTAGTTAGTTAGTTAGTTAGTTAGTAGTTAGTTAGTTAGTTAGTTAGTTAGTTAGTTAGTTAGTTAGTTAGTTAGTTAGTTAGTTAGTTAGTTAGTTAGTTAGTTAGTTAGTTAGTTAGTTAGTAGTTAGTTAGTTAGTTAGTTAGTTAGTTAGTTAGTTAGTTAGTTAGTTAGTTAGTAGTTAGTTAGTTAGTTAGTTAGTTAGTTAGTTAGTTAGTTAGTTAGTTAGTAGTTAGTTAGTTAGTTAGTTAGTTAGTTAGTTAGTTAGTTAGTTAGTTAGTTAGTAGTTAGTTAGTTAGTTAGTTAGTTAGTTAGTTAGTTAGTTAGTTAGTTAGTTGCCTTCAACGATCTATTTTGAATAAAAACTTTTTTCCACTACAAAATTTTAAATTTGATTTTTTGTGTCACACTATGCGTATGATGAACTTTTTAGTTACCTTACTTCAACACTCATACGTTCCATAACTATCATTAAAACAAAATCTGTTAAATAAATGCTAAATATTTTTAATTCTTGTTCAATGTTAAAACCATAGTAATAATCGCAATGTTTTCTAAGCATTTAAGTGAATTTTTAATAAATATTTTAAATCTTAATCTCTTACTGAGAATAATTCAATTTTTTTACTATTTGATTTAATTGAAATTAATAAGAGAAACTGCTTTAAAACTAATTTCTCAGAAACCATAACTGCGGTCAGATACTATAATTTTATTTTATTTATTTCATCAAATTCTAGGAAACATGTCAAATGAAAATACAAATCAAAAGTTATTTTCTAGAAATTTATGTGTTTTTTTTTCATATATGTATGTATATATGTATGTCAGACAGTTTGTTAAATTACCTCCATAATATAATTTTATTTAAACTAAACAAAACTTTTAGTAAAAATATCATTCACTTTAAATAAATTTAAATAATACCAACGCAATAATAAATGCACAAATTATGAATAATTTTAAGTATTTTGCATGCCAATGGAAATTATGGCTTCTGTTTACTTTTTAATTAAGTTGACCATAGAAATGATGTATGGAGAAATTTTAAGCTCTTAAAGAATCCCAGCAAAAAAAATCAATAAAGTATTTTGAAAAGAATTTCATTATCACCACTACGGTAGGAGGAGTAATTAATTAAATTAATATTAATAGATTAAAACGTTTGGCCAGTTGTTGCACTATGTTGAAAGAAATTGTAACTTTATTATTTGAATTACATATTACTTCTGAAAAACACTTTTCCAAAGAACATACAATTTACTGGTACTTCAAAAGCAGTGAATAGCAATCGAAAAAGAAGACCACCACTACCTCTGGTGAACTTTTATCACAACTTCCATGTAGTGAAATCTACTTCATTTGTGCTCTTTTGAAAGTTTGGTTTTTGCTGGGATGTGATTAATTTGTGTATGAATTTCCATTAACAGCACTTTCACTTTAATTGCATTTCATTTGACACTTAAAAAAAGGAAAAATTGTAATTTGACATTATGCTTAAGTACGCTCAAAGAAAACATTTTACATAGTGCAACTGGTCCTGGATAATTAAAATTTGGGGAAGTGCCAATCTTTGCGAAAAAAGGGTAAGGGTGAAATTAGGAGAAAACGGAGACGGCAGGAAGAGGATGG